CTTAATTGATATTCATCGTTTCATATGCTCCACTATTTGTATCTCAATTCTTCTTTTTGATGTGTTTCATTAAGTTTGTCGTATACTATATTCGATAATATTTTGATGGTCATATATACTTTTCCATTCATCTTTATATTATATTTTTTTAATTCTATTATCCTCTAACTATGACTAACAATATTTAAGATGTTTTTAATTGAGTTGTTTTAGATCCAGATCAGACCAAATTTTGATAGTTGTATAACACACATAGAAAAAAACACGCACACACATAAACATACATCTGTTAGGGCATACTGAGACCCTCCAAATATGCTTCCAAGACTGAGAAAGAGAAGATAAAGGCTATCACTCCTGAGAGCGAAGAAAGTGAAATTGAGTTTGATGACGAATCAGATGATGAACTCTTGGACTTCCAAAAGCAGCTGGCGCTCCCGACTTCTAGGTTTAATAACCAGATCTACAAGAAGAAGAACTCATCTTCTAATAGACTTCGCAAGTCCTCTACTGGCACCAAGCGGAAAGAACGACTATTTGACACATCTGATGTTGTGGATGCTGAGGATGCTCCTAAGTGCTTTAAGTGTGGGAAGCCAGGACATCTCATTAAGGACTGCAGGTTTCCAAAAAGAAGGAAAAATGCTGAGTACTACAAGCATAAGATTAAGCTGAACAAGAAGAAGATGTTGTTAGCTATGGAAGAGGATGGAAGCAAGAGTGCTCTGATGGCTGAGAAAGACCATTGAATGGATGATTCATCTGATGAGGAAGAGAACAACCTGGCGTTGATGGCCATGGTTGAGGAAGAAAAAGAAAATGCTGAGAATGAACATGTGACTGCCCTTTCTAGTGAGGATAAGGATTCAGACGACAATGTAAGTACTTCTGACTCTTTTTCATCATTATGTTTTGAATTAATCCTAACTGCTTAATTAAGGAGCTTGAAGGGAGATTAAAACACAACTTCAACGTTCTGGTAAACAGCTAGAGAAGGAATCCTTTCTAAACAACCTCTTCATCCACTCCACATTAATTGATCAACTGAAAAACCTCTCTTTCCGCCACCCTCGATTTCTTTCTCCCTCTTGTTGGCCGTTTTGCCACGGACGAGGAGGATGACAAGAATACCTCTACTGTTTTTGTAGTTTGAATTTTCCTCAAGAAGAAGAGTGGGGAAGAGAAAAGTGAGAGTAAGAGTTGAGAATATTAAAAAGGCATTAATTTGAATTCACCCCAATTTATTTTTATGAACATTATTGCTACTTGGGATTATTTTGTGGGCACTTATAGTAGGGTATATTCTTATGAATTTCGCTAATAAGTAATAGATAAACTAGGATATTTATGTTTTTTTGTCTCTAAAAATGTTAATATACATTCTACAAAGTTTGTATATATTAAAATGTATATTTTTATTGTAGCAATATGAAAGTAAATTATATATGGATAGCGTACTTAATGTTTTAAGATAAAATGGAAAAAATAAGTTGGGTCGGGAAATAATTTACTCCGGACTGCCTAACCAACTTCTAGCGAATAGATGGCCCCTAGGCTGATGATTAGAACCATGACTACGACTACTTTTAGCTAATTTTCATATAATATTTTCATTTTTATTAGTAAAATAAATTTTTAAAAATATTTATTTATAATTTAGCCGCATCAACAAAGTTTCACAAATCTCAGCCGAATAATAGATCCAATCAATTTAAGAGCTCATTTGGTAAACTTAAATTAGTTGAATCTGCTAAAATATATGAATGAAGTTATGGCTGAAGCGGCTAAACATACCAAATTAAGGAAAAATTATATTTAAGAAATATATTTTAGTAATAAAATTATAAAAAAATATATGAAGAAATAGATAAAATGACAATATGTTCAACCAATTTAACTAGAAAAGTAATTCTAACATTACTTACTTAGACTATTACACAGTTCAGTGTGTCAAATAAAAACTTCATATTTGATAAAAAAATTGATTAATAAAAATGATAAGATGAAAATAAGAGTAATGAAATGGTCCTAAAATTACCAAGAATTTTGTTTAGTGTACACACCATGCACACAAGTTGTACATGGTATAAAAGCAAAAAAAAATCTCATTTCCCCCTCCCTCTTCTCTCTCGGTTCTCTCTCCCTTCTCTCGTCCCCCTCCCTCCCTTCTCTCTTTCCTTTTATCTTCTTCATCCTCTTCTTTCCTTCTTCATCCTTTTCTTCTCTACCTTTTTATATCAAATTTTTTTCATTATTTGCTCAAAATCAGCTTATTCATCTTATATCATCTGTTTTTATTATTTTTTCTAATTTTTTCAAATTGCATGTAAATTGATTACACATACAATTACATCATTCATTTGGATGTAAACAGACAATTAATTTTTTTGGTTCATCCAGACAATTAAAATTGATCACACCGATAACTAAAGTTGATCACACAGACAACTATTGTTTGTGAACCACACAACTATTGTCTGTGTGGTAATTATTGTATGTGCACACAGACAAATAATTGTTTGTGCAACATGAAAATATTGTCTGTGCACACAGGCACTGCACATATATTGATTGATTTACAAGCTGGTTTCAGTGTCAGGCGGCTGTCAGTCTAATTTTTACGAAAAAGTAAATGTCTGTGTACACAGACAAAATTTGTTTGTGTACACAAACAAATTTTGTCTATGCCCACAGACAATTCCGTACCAATTGTCTGTGATCGACATTTTGTGTACAAGTTGTGCACAACTTGTGTACCCTAGCATGGTTGAATTACCAAAAAAAGGATGACACCCCATCCCTGAGGGCCCCCAACCCCGACCGGACGGTACGTTGGGAGGATGTAAATTGGACTATAATCACAATCTGAAAGATAGAGAGTGAGGCTCTGTCCCCAGTACTTGCAGAGGTCCTATGCATTTTTAGCATAGTAATCTCTCATCGCAGTTATCCGGATTCGAACCCGAGACCTAACACTTGTAGCACTTCCTTGCTACCCGTTGAGCTACGCCCATCGGGAGCTAGTGCTCCAAACTGACCATTAGAAAAAAGGAGTTGTCAGTATGTCCTGCCGACCAAAGAATTGCAGGTCAATAACGTTGTATCCCTATATCCCTAATAATTAGTAATTAGATGTTGCAAATTCAACATGAAAAGGAAAAGGTAGAAGAAAAAGAAACCACATACTCATATTACGCTTAGTCAATAAACAGATAAATAAAGCAAATTTTATACGCTTAGTCAATAAACAGATAAATAAAGCAAATTTTATGATATCTTTAAGATATCATATCTTTTCCATACGGATCAATGAATATATAGGATTGTAGAGGGTATATCATATTAGGCCGGTGTAGAGGATAATCATGTTTTTATTCTCAAAATAGGAGTAAACACTACTACTCCCCCGTCCCACTAACAATGAGACAAGCAGAGGCGGCTTGAGCATTTTGGAGGCCCCAGATGAAAAATATTTACTATGTACAAATCACTTTTAAAATCAGATAAATTGAATAAAAATCGCCTTATGAAAAAAAGCATATTCAAAGTCCACGATATAATGTTTGTAATATTCAAAAGGATAAATTTTAAAATGCAAACTTATTCAAAACACAAGGCAAACTTGTACTTGTAAAAGTATTAAGAGACTTCAAGAACGAGACTCAGAGAGAAGAGCTGAAGAGTCTTAGTTGATTCACTAACCAAGGACCCATGTCGACGGTGGGCAGTGAGGCATATATACAGTAGCCGATTAGCGGTCTGTGTTGGACGTTGATGCGTGTTGAGATCGGCTTTTGATAGTTTTTTCCTAACTTTAAGGTGTCATAAGTCTCAATTTTAAGCTCAAGTCATATTTACCGGTCGTTGGTTCGAGTTTTGGTATTTTTGGAGTCAAAATCAGGGAATTTGAGTCCGGCACCGGTGTTTGAGAAACAATAGGAACGAGTTGAGAAGCATGTTAGAGTTGATTAGGAGCATTGGAGATCAGTGAGGTGTTGAAGACAAAGTTTTGAAGACAAAAGAGCTCTAGAATTGGCTACGTGATCAAAAGAAGACGAATAGAGCTTGAAAACAACGATCAGGATGACGTTCTGTCAATCGTTCAAGCATATCTTTTCTTAGGAACATCCAAAAAATATGATTCAAGTTTCATATGAAAGCCAACTTCAAGGGCTACAAAGCATATGAAGACACCATTGTGAGAATCTGAGAGAAGCATGGTGAAAACAGACGATGAAGTCAGACAACCTCTGTTGAGATTTCAGAATGCGACCTTCCACCATTTTATTCATATATTTTTATTGGATGATTCAAATCCAATTTTGCAAGTTGTGTTGGATAGAAGACTTCATTAGCTACAACTTTGATGAAGGAAGAATAGTCAAAAGTGAACTATAAAGCTGATTTCTTCTTGTAGTTGCCGCTTGGTATATTGGCGGTCTGCGAATAACACCTAATACTAATACCGGAGTAGAATTTTTTGGAGGCCCCCTTGGTAGTTGAGGCCCAAGGCAGTTGCCTGGCCCAACTGCCCTCAAAGCCGCCCCTGGAGACAAGAGGGAGTGATACGCAAACAATAAAAAGTGATCTATGTGATTGATATTGAATTGATAAAATAAGAATAAAGTAAGAATGATTTAGAGTCACACAAATATTACCAAATTTGGTATGTGACAGTCTTAGTTGGACGGACCAAAAACGTAAAATGAGACAATCTTAGCGACACAGAACCACGAAAGAAGTATCATGTTTAAAGTCTAGTACGGTCAAAACATGACACTCATTACTTTTATTTTGAAAATAAAAATATGAGTCCTATTTTGAAACATAAGAAAGATTTTTAGGGTAATTTCCTTTATTTATTTTAATGAGTCACAAAACCAACTCAGAAACTGATTAGAATTTAGAAGTGTTTTCATTGTGCAAAAGTGATTTTTTTTTACATGCCGCGAGAGTGCCTATAAATGAAGCAAGGAACAACAATTTTGGCAACATCAAAACAGAGATCTTTCATTTAGTGAAGAGATTACTGAAAATGGCAGAGGTTGAAATCGTATCAACATGCTTAGTTGGAGCTTCCGGTGCACCACCGGCTGAAAGATTAAGAATTGAGTTGACGCCATGGGATCTGCAACTCCTCCTAATTGGCTCCATCCAGAAAGGGCTCCTCTTCCCCAAACCCACCCCTCATCAAGAACAAAACCTCTTCATCCACTCCACATTAATGGATCACCTGAAAACCTCTCTTTCCACCACCCTCGATTTCTTTCCTCCTCTTGCCGGCCGTTTTGTCACGGACGAGGAGAATGAGGAGACCAACACCTCTACCGTTTTTGTCAACTGCAATAATGCCGGTGTCGAGTTCGTAGAAGCCAAAGCAGCCGGCGTCACCGTCAGGGCCATTCTTGACCCGTCCAACGACGACGCTGCAAAGATAATCCGATCTTTCTTTCCCCTGAACGGAACCCGCAACTGCGACGGGATCTCCAAGCCGCTTTTGGGAGTGCAAGTAACGGAGCTTCTTGGCGGCTATTTCATCGGCTGCACTTTGAACCACGGCCTCGGCGACGGCGCTTCCTTCTGGAACTTCTTCCGTTCTTGGTCGGAGCTATCACGCGGTTGCCCTCAAATCTCGGAACCTCCCATCCTGGACCGCTGGTTCCCGGAAAACACCACCCGCCCGGTTCGTCTCCCTATGGCCCTCAACAAAGAAAGACTATCTCTCGGCGGTCTGAAAACTCCGCCGGCATACCCAGAGAGGGTATTCCGGCTGAGCAGAGAAACCATAGCCAAGCTCAAAGCAAAAGCGAACTCTGAATTGGGAATTGAAAACAACAATTCTATCTCCTCGCTGCAGGCATACATGGCCCACATATGGGTATCCGTCACTCGCGCACGAGAACTCGACGGGAACGAGGAGGTTCAAATATCCATTACCATCGGAACGCGATCGAGGGTCCCACTGCCGAAAGGGTACTGGGGAAACGCGCTTTACGTAAAGATGGTGACGGCGAAAGCAGGGGAGCTCTTAGAGAAAGGATTGGGTTGGGCAGCTTCGAAGCTTAAGGAAGCTGTGGAGAAGCAGGGGCACGAAGAAGTGATGAATGAGTATGTGAACTGGGTGAGATCGCCGGCGTTTCTCGGCGAGAAGAAGCTTTTCTTGACTAGTAATACGCTGGTCATAAGCAGCTCTCCCCGGTTCGACATGTACGGTACGGATTTCGGGTGGGGGAAGCCGGTTGCGGTGAGGAGCGGGATGGCGAATAAGTCGGACGGGAAAGTGACGCTTTTTGCCGGACCGGAAGAAGGGAGTGTGGATATAGAGCTCTGCATTCTTCCCAAGACTTTAATGGGACTGTGTAACGATCCGGAGTTCATGGAGTATGTCACCATTCCCGGAATTTAAAACTTTCACCAGGAGACTATCCTTTTAAAACATTCTCATACTACCTCCGTTCTTAAATAAATGCAACACTTTGACTTTTACACTATTCACATGTTCTACTTTGACTACGTTTTATTTATTAATTTAATAATATTATTTTATGAAAAAAATATTGTTAAACTTGTCTCATTGTAAATTTTCATAATCTATTTTTTTTAATTTTTTTACTAATACAAAATCATTTATATTAATGGTCAAAGTTGTGTCTCGGCAAGTATGAAATGTTGACCGTTGCATTTATTTAAGAACGGAGGAAGTATAATCTAATTCATGATCCCACTTGCCCAGTCCACTACCAAAACCATGATCCCACTACCCCCACCGGCCCCATCCCCTTCTAGGTCATCTCTCAATCCTACCACTCCTTATGTACTTCTCCCTTTGACACCTCCTCGGCCGACTTTGCCTCACCCGAACCCCCCCCCCCCCCCACCTATATCCCCTATGGTAGTTAATCAGCACCCCATGCAAACCCGTGTTAAATCAGAAATTTTTAAGCCTAAAATAATTTTTAATTTAAGTACGGTTATTACTCATGCAGATCCTACCTGTTTTACCGAGCCAAATAAACATTTAAAATGGCGTGAGGTGATGGATGATGAATTTAATGCACTCATTAATAATAATACTTGGGAGTTGGTGCCCTTTGATAGCTCTAAGAATATTGTTGGGTGTAAGTGGATTTATAAAACTAAATATCATTCTGATGAATCCTTAGAGCGCCATAAAACTCGATTAGTTGCACAGGGTTTTAATCAGCAGGCAGGTGTTGATTTCTCTGAAACTTTTAGTCCGGTAGTAAAACCCACCACTGTTCGTATTGTACTTACTCTTGCTATTTCTTTTGAGTGGGTTATACGACAACTTGATGTTAAAAATGCCTTCATACATGGACATCTGACAGAAGAAGTTTATATGCGTCAGCCCTGTGGTTTTATTCACCCTCAATTTCCTAATCATATATGTCGTCTGCGCAAGGCCATTTATGACCTTAAGCAAGCTCCACGGGCCTAGTTTCATAGATTCAGTAGCTTCCTTCTGCAACATACTTTTTCCTGTAGTAAATCTGACAATTCTTTGTTCATTTACCGCCAGAATAATACCATTATTTATTTATTATTATATGTGGATGATATTATTATTACTGGCAATTCTGAGTCATCTGTTACCCAATTTATTTCGATTATTTTTAATCAGTTTGCTATGAAAGACTTGGGTAATCTCCATTATTTTCTAGGTGTCGAGGCTATTCGTACAGCTAAAGGTATATTTCTCTCTCAACATAAATATGTTACTGATCTTCTAGACCGTTTTCATCTCCATACCGTAAAGCCTGTTCGCACCCCGTTAGCTTCCCGTACAACTCCATCTCTCTCTGATGGTGAGTTACTGTCTGATTCTACTGAGTATCGCAACATGGTTGGTGCGATCTCAGTTCATGCATGCTCCTCGTACCACTCATCTTTTTGCAGTCAAAAGAATTTTCAGGTACTTGCAGGGAACACGAGATCATGGACTCTGACTTCAGCAGTCTAATCGGCCAACCTGTGTAGTTGCTTACTCCGATGTTGATTGGGCAGGTTGTCCTGATAGTTCTCGGTCTACCACATGATTTTCTGTATTTTTGGGTCCGAATTTGGTTTCTTGGAAGACTAAGAAGTAGTCTACTGTGTCCAAGTCCTCAACAGAAGCAGAATATCGTGCCATTGATTACACAGTACACGACACACTGCATATCTGGTCGGTATTGTTTGAGCTTGGATGGCCAATTACGGAGCCGGTACATTTATTGTGTAATAATATCTCTGCTTCTTATTTGACTGCAAATCCAGTTCAGCATGCCCGCATTAAACATATCCAGATTGATTATCACTTTGTTCGCGAACGGGTTGCTCATGGAGATTTGATTGTTAAGCATGTTCCTAATCATCTACAGCTGGCAGATATTTTTACTAAAAGTCTCTCTAGTCAACGTTTTCATTTTTTAAAAGACAACATACGCGTTGTATCTCCCGCACAGCTTGAGGGGGTGTAATAGAATTATTAGAGGCTTAGTATTGTACTTTACCTTAAACTCTCTTTAATATAAATATATTTTACAGGGCTCCTCAGGGAGTAACCTTTCCATTTTTCTCCCAAAAAAAGGATGACACCCCAAAGTCCTCAACCCCGACCGGACGGTACGTTGGGAGGTAAATTGGACTATAATCACAATCTGACAGATAGAGAGTGAGTCTCTGTCCTCGGTACTTGCAGAGGCCCTATGCATTTTTAGCATAGTAACCTCTTATCGCAGTTGCCGGGATTCGAACCCGGGACCTAACCCTTGTGGCACTCCCTAGCTTGCTACCAGTTGAGCTACACCCACCGGTAAGTTTCTGATAAACCTGAAACGGGCAAATTTAGGTCTAAACCGATCGGAACCGAAACCCTAACTATCAAAAGAACAAAAATCCAAACATTCAAACCAAATCTACTTAGACAAAAACAAAAACAATTGCTACTAAAGAGAAAATAGTACTGAAATAAAATCATTCCACAAGGCTCTTTCGAGTATGGAGGTCGTTCCGGAGGAGGACGAGCGCTTGCAATATGGGTGAATACCAACTCCACCACCGTCAGAATGGTCGACCAAGGCTTCACGATCCATCCTCAGTAGAACCTCCCAGCCACACCTCGTTCATCCGCCAAACCTATCTCCTCCGATGCAGTTGCAATCCCAAACGTTAGAACACTTAAAATCATATAATCTGTCGCTCCAACCCTATATTTATAAGGTGGTGGAAAATCTCAACCCCTACAAAGAAGTAAGACATCCGCTAGGGTTCCTCTCTCTCTCTAGAGAGATGAGAGAGTTCGTGAATTCCTGTTAGACTTTTAGTGGACAAAAATATGACTCGTTTTCAAAAGGACAAAAAAGTGCCTCAAAATTATTTAAAAATTCGTCACCCTCAGTGCTTGACTAGCTTCTCCTATTCTTGTTTGACTGCTTGGATTTCTCTCCCTTCACGCTCGACTTGTGCCGTCTCCCTCAGTGCACTGCCAACCTCGCCGCCGCCGCCATCTTCGACCTCACCACCATCTTTGAGCTCGACATCATCTGCGACCTCGTCGCTGACCACCATACCCATCATTGGTTTTTGCCACTGTTGCTGCCCTATGTAGTCGACACCATAAGCCCTAACCGCTCAATTTTCGTCGCCCAACCCGCATGCGAACTCCACCGCCACTCACAGCCCCCATTTCCATCCCAACCAAACTCTAGTGATAGATCCAATTGTTAGTGTCCAAATCAAGGGTGTTGGCGGCGCGTGTGTGATTTAAGGCAACATCGAGGTGGTTTTTTACTGACGGCTAGGGTCACGACGTTGGTGGGCTGGATGTAGGGGCTAGGGCCAGTTGCAGAGGGGCAAGGCAGCACTAGGGAGGGTCATGTGGTGGCGAGGGCTGGGTGACACTGGACAGCTCAGGTTGTGGTGGCGCTCGAGCAGGGTACGTTGTAGCTGGGGAGGGACCAGGTAGCTATAGGGGAGCATGGGATGGTCAGGGTAGGGGCAGTAGGCATCTCATCCATAGGGGCGGTGGGCGGCAGTTTCACTGTTCCAGAAAGTGTGGAGGTTTCACCGGAAAAAGTCACCGGAAAATTTTTCAACGGCACGATGACATGGTTAACGGCACGGTGACACGTTTTACGGCGTTAATGACATGTGAACGTGACATGAAAACCGGTACTGACAATCAAATGTGACATAAAATCAAATTGACAAGTTGACATCGACATAAAAATTTGTAGTGATACCATGTTTTTCGAGATATATGACTTTCTCAATCACATTTTCGTCATTTTGTAAAAATGGTCACGTTTTGGAAATTGGCTTTGATTTAGTAATATTCAAGGAAAAAGCCCAAAGTATATCTAATGAATTTACTCCAACAATAGTTGTCTTTTTCGTTTGGAAAAAGTGAAAATAATAAACTCAACTATTGTCGATCGATCCACTGTTAATAAGCCCAACTATCGATTATTAATGGGTGGTCCTAACTATAGGGACTATTTTCCAAAAATAGTCCCTTAACATGTTACAACATGGTATAACCTATGGTGCAATGATACTTCACCCTGATGTCGTATCCGCATATCCGATACGTATCTGATATCGATACTCACCGATACACGTCCTGTACATATTGGGTTCGTATCCGTAATTTAATAAAAGTATTGGGCTTATTTTCAAAAATACTGATACTTCCGATACCTGTATCCGTGAACCGGTATGCATATCTGACCCTATAACCATCATTTCATACACGACGACATGACAAAATTTAGTAGCCGCTCAAGCGACTACAAGATGTGGAACATTGATAAACACGATTGTGAGAGTACGGAAAATATTGAAATACTATAATTTATCATTTTGTCGCTTGAGGAGCTTTGATTGAAACCAGACTTGTTAAGTGACTTCGATATAAATACAAATAGAGAACCAACAATATTATTTGAATTTAAATCAAAATATTAGTACTTTAGTTCTTTAAGCTTAATCTTTGATTTTTTTTTTGTAATTGTTAATTTTTGGTACTATTAGAATTTTATTTATGAACCTTTGAATTGTATATATTTGCAAATTATACCCTATATTATTATTATTTATAAATATACCCCCGTACCCATATCTTATAATTTTTGAAATTGTCGTATCGTCGTACCCGTATTCGCGTATCGGCGTGTCGGCGTATCTGTATATGTGAAACATAGGGTATAACAGGTCATTTTTAAATGTGAACTATGTGTAAGTTTTAAATAATCTCAACTATAATTGACCTTTTTTTAATAATCCCAACTATGGACTCTCAATTTTAAGATGATGTAAAAATATTTTTATAAACTTTGAAACTAAATATTTTTAAACATGTATAAACAACTACGAAAATTATAAAAATTTACCGAAGTTAAATAAATATTTTTAGTCATTTTTCGATTTATTTTCAATAAAATTTTATTTTATCCCTTTTCCAATTTATTTTCCCCAGATGTGTTACCAATTTATGATTTTGTAATATTTTCCTTTATTCAAATTTACATTTTTTGTTTTCAAAAGTAAATAAAGATTAAAATTTTATTTATTTTTTTATACTATCTTAATTCTAAAAATTGAAATTTTTCTATTTTTCCATTTTAGTATTTCTGGTCTCTTTCTATATTCTTTATTTTATATTATTCAGCAATCCATAAATTATTTTATATTATTATATTCTATAAATTATATTCTATAAGTTATATTATACTCCCTCCGTAACATTCATATCTTTCCATTTTCCTTTTCAACCGTAATATTTATATCTTCCCATTTTTATATCTTCTCATCATACCCTCGATAATTTTGAAAATAATACACTATTACAACTATTTTTTGAATCTATCCTTCAGTTCGGCACACTATTTCATTATCTTCCCATCATACCCTAAATAATTTATGTCATCTTTCACTATTCTTAATTTTATCTACTTTAAAATGGGAAGATATAAACGTTACGGAGGTAGTATAGTTTATTGTTTAATTTTAGTGATTTGGGGTATATGTTTTGGAGGTTTTGACTATTTGTAATGAAAATGTATTAATATTATAATTTTAAGTGATTTAATGAAAATTGTAAAAATGTAGAAAAAGTGTATCGCAATGGTAATAGTAATCCCAACTATTTTGGTATAAAAAGTGTGGACTTTTGGTAATCATTTTAGTAGACATTTTTCTATAGTATTTTCAAGCTATTCACATTTTTACAATGGTAGAAATTAAAAATACTAAAATGGAATAAATAGAAAATTCAGATTTTTAGATTAAGCTAGAATAAAGATCTAAATTGTAAAAAATGTAATCACAATTTACTTTTTGAAAATTGAAAATGTAAATATGAATAAAAGAAAATAATACCAAATCATAAATTGATAACACAGCTGTGAAAAAAAATTAGAAAAAAGAAAAAAAGAAATTTTAGTGCAAATATATATAAAATGATTTTTTTTTAATTTAATTTCGGTACACTTGTAGAATATTCATAATTAATTTTTCATGCTTAAAAGTATATAGTTTGAGAAGGTATACAAATATATCTATATCTTTCAAAATTAAGAGTTGATAGTTACAATTAATAAAAAAAGGTCAACTATAGTTGAGATTATTATTTAAAGCTTACACATAGTTCAAATTTAAAAATGATCTGCTATACCAAGTTATAACTTTTGAAAAAAGGTTTTTATAGTTGGGATCACACAGAAATAATCCATAGTTACAATTACTAACTGCAAACCGACAATAATTGACATCATTATTTTCAATTTTTCCTTTTAGTTTTTTAGGGTATATAAAATCAACTCACCCGCCGAAAAGTTGGACTTTAAATCTTAATGAGTCTACACAGTACATCTAAGGTAAGATATACTCCCTCCGTCCCGGTCATTTCTTCCAGTTTTCCTTTTTGGGCCGTCCCAATTAATTCTTCCAACTTTCCTAAAAAGGAAATCAACCCATACTAAAAACCCTATTTTACCCTCCCAATAAAAAAACCCTTTCCCATACCCTTTCCCCTTCCCTTTTACCCGCCCCTGACCCTGAGACCTCGTCGCTGCGTAGTCAATTCCCCACGATGTCGTTGTATTCGTCGTTGCGTAGCCAATTTCCCACACCACCGTTGTATTCGTCGCTGCGAAGCCGCGTCGCCGTCTTCATTGCAACAACCCACACCATCTCGTCCAGGTTTGTAGTCTTCTTCACCTTTCTCCAGGTTTAGGTTGATTCAAATGGGCGAGTTACAGGGATGGCGGCTAGCGACGGCTTGGCGGTAGAGGTTGGGGCTGGGGAGGGGAAATGATGGGCCGGGTCGGATCTGGGTTGAGGAGGGTAGGATTGGGACTGGCTGGTCGGAGTTGAAGCTTGAGAAGTAGTTAGGGAAGAGGGACGGGGCTAGAGCGGGATGGGGTCGGGTGGGGGTTTTCCAGTGATGGGGAGTTGGGATGGGCAGGGATATTAGAAGAAAGTCAACCCCTTTAGAAATTTGCATAAATTTGCGATACCGGTCAAAACTGGAAGAAATGACCGGGACGGAGGGAGTACGTAGTACTACGTACTTCGTTGATGGCGAAGGTATGCAAATGGACCAATTGCAGATTGCAAGATTATCCAAGTAAAATTGAAAATGTTACTGATATTTATTTATTACAACAAAAAGAACTGTTTTTTGGCAGGTTCCGAAGAAAACTGTTTTTCACATAAACAAAAAAAATTAAAATTGAAAAACTTGTGTGAGATAAATAACTTTTTTTTTGTTTGTGTGAAAAACAGTTCTGTTCACAAAACACCATTCAAATTGTATATACATACATAATTTGACTTGTACAATGTCTTGTAAGATGCGCGTACACGGAAAAGTAATTGAAGTAAAATACCCCATATACCCGCACGAGTAGCTCAGTTGGTTGAGTGGTGGGAAAATTGGACCAAGTGATCAAGGTTCGAAACACGTAGCGACCGTGTGAAGGTTACAGAACCTGAAATAAGGCTGAATCTCTGATGCGCACGTGTATAAGGCCTACCGCCGCTTTGCTGACTGAGTAATCGTGATTAACCTCCCCACCATCCTGTCGGCTCGGGGTGGGGGATCCTGGAGTGGGAGAGCCATCTTTTGGACCAAGTAAAATACCCATATTGCAATTGAATAAAAACAAGGTACCGAGTCAGAGTCTCACTCTCTATATGTCAAATTGGGATTATAGTCCAACTTACGTGCTCCCAACGTACCGTCCCATCAGGGTTGGGAGGGTGTTATTTTTTTTTTAATAAAAACAAGGTACCTTGAGAATTGAAATCTTAAATGAGTCAATGGAATAATAATTGATCAATTACTCTGTGCAGTGCATATAACTATATAAGAGTTCTTTGTCCGAATTGAACAACCACAAAAATATGGAGATGATAAGCTTAGCAAGACCCCTATTGCTCATAGGAGCCATATCCGTGCTTCTGTTACAGGTTGGTGGTTTCTGCTCTCTACTTCCATGGCTAGTCTCATACTTTCTGCTGATATATGATGATTCTCTGCACTGAGCTCATCGATCAGTATTTGGTAGTTTCAGCTGGATATTCTGTTTCCGTTTTGTACACACAGTATCTCTATTGGTTTTAATTCCTTTCCTTTTTGAAATTCATCCGTGATTTTATTGTGTTTTGTGAGTATGAGCCTTTTCACACTAAGCAGGTTAAACAAATGAATACGAAATATATTCCTAACCGTATAGTCATGTTTACCAGATGCATAAAGTTTATGATAACAGGTTAATTCCTTAAATAACGCAAAACTGGCCAAAGATTATATTTTTTTATAGAAGCTGCCCCAAATAGGAGTGAAAACAACTTTCTTACCATTAAATAGGATTAAATATGGCCACTGATTCAGCTCTACACAGTCAAGTTAAGACATCCAAGAAGGTCCCAAAAAGTTGTGATAGAAGTAAATCAAACAATTGATAGTTGAGTTAGTAAAAAGCTGTTATACCAAGTAGATATTTTGAGATTTGTATATAAACATCTTTGTAATCAATTCGTCTATGAATAATACTTAATTCCTCTCCATCTTCTCTCAAATCTTCTCTCTGTTTTATATTCTATCTGTTCTACATATTTCTGTCATTATTAAGGTTGAGCTAAGCTCCCTATTTCCCTGTGTTACTAGTAAAATATAGTAGAGCATTGGGTCCTGCATTATTGGTATCATAGTCACCAACTTGGCACGTTGTTCACAAAAGTTTACTGCCATGTAAGAGCAACTCAAAGCTCTGCAACAGACTTTACAACAACAAATGTAGATCCAAACAAAGGAAGCTGAAACTGGAGAGTTGATTGCTATTCAACGCACCAAGAGTCTTGAGGGTCAATTTGCTCAGGTAATGGGCTGGTGAAACAAATATAGGAAACTAGCAAAACAAGCTCTTCAACAAACTTCAATTACTCGGAATATGATAATGCACCATCAGGCAAAATTTTAGAGCACATTCCTAGACTAGATTTCCTGGATATGAAGCAATTATTTGGATCAAGAAGTGCAATCATTCTCTTACTCTGCAAAATTCATGAACATCAGAAAGTTGATATTGCATCACTGAATATGATTGGAAGGGCAGAATTATGGGTAATTAGCTACTTATATGTAAAAGGTAATGGGTTTTGGGATCAGTTTCTTGTTGATTTGAGTGCTAGGCTTAGGGATAATACTGGATATAACGTGATAGAACAGTTTATTAAATTGGAGCAAGCTGGGATATTAGAAAATATATTGATAAATTTGAAACCTTAAGAGGATTAGTGTTACAGAGGAAATTCCTTTGCAATCCTCTGAGAAATACATCTCTTCCCGATGATTACTTCTTGGATAGGTTCATAAGTGGTCTTAAAGTCACCATTAAGCCATTTGTCCGAGCTTTTAGACCACGAGATATGTCAAGTGCTATTGATCTTGGTAGACATCAAGAAGATCCAGTTTCCGCTAACTCAAGAAGTACCAATGGTTCTGGAAGATTATCCTATAATTATTCCGTGCAGCCCCCAAATTCTGATGTTCTTTCTAGAAATGCAGTGTTTAATAACCATCCATTTCTACCTACACCTATAACAGCACCTCTTAAAAATCCTGACATCAACTACCCTCCCTGGTCTGGTTAAAGAAGCTAATACCTGCTACTGTAAGGGTTGAGAGAATAGCAAAGGGAGAATGTTATCATTGTAAACCAGCCTTATGATAGAATAATAAGTCCCCTTTCAGAGAAAACCATGTTTTTCCAGTTAAAGTGCAAGATTTAGAAAAATCTGATGAATTCTGTGAAGTTGAGATAGAATTCGATGATGAACCCTCAGCTATGGATGAACCTTGATAGGGACCCGAACAATAAAGACTAATAATAGAATAATAGTAATTAGTGTTAGTGTACAAGTGAGGGTTTGTAATTCGTGATACAAACAACTTGTTCATTGAGCTTCCTTGGCTGAAAAATAAACTAGAGAGCTATGCAAATAGTATGCTAGTGGATGGTGGGTGGAAACTGAAGACTACTCACACAACACATACATGGCTAAGTGGAGAACTAAAGCCAAGGTGTGTCACTATAGATCTGAAAGGGGGGGTTCCAGTCCCGCATGAGAAGTACATTGACAAGGTTTACTATATATGGTTTGATACAACAATTGGGTATGTGTCAATCATTTCATGTAACACAGATGAATGGGAAAAAGGGTGGAAGAATCTTGAGAATGTGGAGTTCTACCAATGTGTGGGCAAGAAAAAGGTGCCTTTTCATACAGTAATGGTCCCAGCTACCCTACTGGGAACGGAGGAAAACTATACTGTTATGAAAACTATCAAAACAGAGTACTTGAACTATGAAGCAGGCAATTGTTCAAAAAGACAATGTGTTGGAGTAATTGGAAATGAGGCAAAATTAAATAGTGAATCACTAAGTAATCTCAGAAACTTCATCAACAGTGCCCTGAGTTTTATGGCAAAGGATTTTGCTACTGGATATGGGTTCCTCATTCATGATACTAAAGGAAAATGGAATGTTCGAGCCATGATGCCTTCTGAACAGTGTGGTGCAGAAAACCTCTATGAAGTACCTAGATCTGTAGGTATCCACTTCCAGAAGGAGTGGCAGCCAGTTTTTTCTGCCATTTTTGAGGAATTGGCGGATGAGAATGACTGTGTAAGTGTTGCTGCACTTGGTGCTAATCATATGTTAGTGAAGGTCTATGTCACAATGTCGTTGCCTCTGCCCATTGCTGTTGAAGAAGTGATGATGAAGATTGAAATCATGAACATCCGGGTCCAGAAAGCAGGGATGTATTGGGAAGGGAGAGGCGCAAGGATGAATATGTGGGCATGACAGTTTCTTAAAGGAATCCCAACCAAGGAGATTAAATTGATAAAGAGTAATGTTGAGAATCACCTAAAAGAAGCCACCCAACTTTGTGCTCTTCAATTAATTCCGACTGAAATTGGGGAGGAACCTACTGGTCTAGACATAACTTGTCAGGCAACAAGTACGTAGTATAAATTTTAATGATAATGCCCACAATTGCAACAACTTCTTCAGAAGTATGAATCCGTTTTTGAGGATCTCAAAACTCTCCCTTCTTCTAAAGGGATATTTAATCACAAGATCCCACTTGAAACTGGTGCAGGACCTGTTAGCATAGGACCATGTAGATATCCTTTGGATAAACGGTATATTATTGAGAAACTGATCCAGGAAATGCTTGAGAATGAAATAATCCAAAATAGCTCCAGCCCTTTTGCATCGCCGGCGGTCTTGATTGGTAAGAAAGATGGGTCACGAAAGATCTGTGAAAGATAATTCAGGTGTCAATTCATCAATTAGGTCATCTATAACAGGGATAGGGAATTTATCTTGTCCCTTGCATCAGCCATCCTAAAACTTTCTGCCATATTATGACATTAATACTTCTATATTAGTGATAGATAACACACGTTAGACAATACAGCATTATGATTTCTATAGGACAATATTTTTGATTTTTTTTACTTCTATTTAGGGAAAACAACTCGTTTTGACTCGGGATATGTCCCTATTTACTTTTACCCCAATAGTTCAAAGTAGAGTTTACGAGAGGAGAAATATACTTCTTTCACTTGGGTGGCCTGATGTGCAATAAAGCAGTTTCTTTGGACTTTAAAACTGAACTTATACAGCATCCTCACTTCGATTTTATGTGCCATTCATGAGTGTTCTCTCAGGTTGTAGCAGTGAAGACTGTAACACAGACTGAAGTAGATCCCAAGATCCTTCAGGTATGCGTTTGTATGAAAGGAAACATTCAAAATTATATCTTATTTAGACCATAATCATTTGAGAACTAAGTGAATTGTATGAAAAATGTTATGCAGGATAATATCGTTAAAACTGTCAATGAAAATACAAAAGCAGGATGGAAAGCTGACATGAATCCTTGGCTCTCAAACTTTACTGTTAGTTGATATATAAATATATCGCTGCAATATGTATACTGATTTTTGGCCAAACTAATTTATCATGCATGTTTATATGTTCATCGGGTTTATAGGTAAGCCAATTTAAGCACCTTCTTGGTGCTAAGAAGGCACCAAAGACTTTATTGAATGGCATTCCTGTTATTACTCATACAAAAGATACAAAATTGCCCAAAAGTTTTGATGCACGGACAGCTTGGTCTCAGTGTATCACCATTGGACAAATTCTTGGTATGTCTTTTAACTATTTCTGCTTCAACCTATTGATTGTTTTCTTGTTAGATATTCACTAATTCTTAATTTTTCTTATTATGTGTCATTCACATGAACTTTTCAACAATTTAGATCAGGTATTTCATTTTTGCTATTAATAGTTTCTGAATGGTTAGGGAAATGTTTATATTATCAAATTGACCCTTTGTATTACTTACTTATCAGGGGCATTGTGGTTCTTGTTGGGCCTTCGGTGCAGTTGAGTCATTAACCGACCGTTTCTGCATTAAATTTGGGACGGTAATTTCATTTCAGTCCTCAACAGCTTTACTGTTTCGCATTTAGGGTCCACTTGGAACCTGGAAAGTACTAGAGCTAAAACAGGAAGGAAAACATCGGGGAGATAAAAGAAATGTAGGAAAAACTCAAAGATAGGCTAAAACCCAACAAATTTATTTTTAGATATTTGTTGGTATTCATTTCACTTGATTATGTGTTTTTTTTATAAAGACTAAGAATTATAAATAAATGTTAAATAAAAACTAAAAAGCTAATCATTTTTTCATTTTCCTTTCTATCCTTCAATTGTAAAACCAAACATAACAACCATGCTTTCCTTAACATTACTTTTCTCTTCCCTAGCAAAGTCTGTGGATATTAACTTTGAAAACTAAATGTTTATGACACAGAATGTCACTCTATCTGTCAATGACCTCTTAGCGTGCTGTGGTTCTTTGTGTGGTGATGGATGTGATGGTGGTTATCCTATATCAGCATGGCAATACTTGGTGCGAAGTGGTGTTGTTACTTCAACGGTAAATGTTTTGGGCTCTCTACTTTTCGGTAGCTCACTGTTATCCTTGCCACTATTTTTTTATCAATGAGTAATATTTAAACTTGAATGAAATATTGAAATATTGCTTTTGCAGTGTGACCCTTACTTTGACCAAACTGGATGTTCTCACCCTGGTTGTGAACCAGCATATCCCACTCCCAAATGCCAGAAGGAATGTGTGAAGGGGAATCTTCTTTGGTCGGAGTCCAAACATTTCAGTGTTAATGCATATACAGTTAGTTCTGATCCATACAGTATCATGGCTGAAATTTATAGTAATGGACCTGTTGAGGTCTCCTTTACTGTCTATGAGGTAAATGCAAAAAAAGGAATTTGAATTTAGTTTACCTACTAGTATGGCCATATTTAGTACTCTCAACCACAATTTTTACAGTTTTACCTTTTCAATCACTTCATTAATAGTTGTGCCAAATCAAAACAAGACACATACAATGGGACAGAAGTGGTATTCTTCTAGTCATACCGCATCTTTATTTTTGAATCCTTTTATTTTATTTTGTAGGTCACTTGTCTCTTTTCAATATAAGTTTTCTGTGAATTTTTTAAATGTATAAAGTTTACTCCCTCGACCGAATCACATAATTTAGAATGCATTAACAATAAATAGTCAAACTTGTTTATATTTACCTAAAATTCCCTCATTTAATTCGGTGTAGTTACTAATTGTTCTGATATTTCTTAATGATTCTCCTTCATAGAAGCATACTGAGCATACACAAGGGAACTTTTGGGAAAAATATTTATTATTGTAATATTCATAGATTTTATAAAAAGATAGATACAAAGGAATGAGCAAAGTTGGTCAGTGAAACCAATAAATAGGAACGAGTATTTAGTGATACTTATAGAGGTATTATGTTTAGATCATTTCAGTCAAATCCCATTAAACAAGGTCTGAAAGATTGTGATCCAATCAGCCTTCTTCATTATTGGTTTATCGTTTGCATTCTTTTACCGGATTATTACCCACTAAACACTCTTTTTTTATCATATTCCTCATCTCACTGCTTAATGTTGACTGTTTGCAGGACTTTGCACATTACAAATCCGGAGTCTACAAACATGTGACAGGCGAAGAAATGGGAGGGCATGCTGTTAAGCTCATAGGATGGGGAACTTCCGATGATGGAGAAGACTATTGGGTATATAGATTTTTTAGACATTCAGATTTTGGCTTTCATTTACTACTGATTCTGACCCCTCACTGAATTTGCTCTTCTTAAACAGCTCCTTGCCAATCAGTGGAATAGAAGTTGGGGTGATGTATGTTCATCCTCTTTCACTTACTCTCCCAAATATAATTTACTACAAGGCTACTTCTCTTTATGACTTGATGTAGCGGGAAATGATAGAGGGCCCACATTAGTTACCACATGGTATGGGTTGCACAATCCATGTGAAGTTATCTCTTTATCCCGACATCAGAGCATCTTAGAAGGGTTCTCTAAATTTTTATTTTCTTTCAATGAAAGAAACATTATCTTTGCGTGTGTTCAATGGACTCTTTAAGGTAAAGAGTTAAACTAGAATGTGAGATTTGTCTCTCCATATGTGGATTGTCCAAGACCCCTCTATAAACGTTCAACATGTTTTTATAGAAATATGGAAATATGAGATCAACTAATTTTCCTTAAAACATTGAATGAACATCAATGATAAAGAACTTTTCAAAGAGCATTGTTCAAACTTAAAACTGTTCACTATTTATTTGAAAAAGGTGCATCAGAATGCTCTTTAATTTATAGGTTATGCATTTTAAAGTAAAGTGCCTTTGGTTTGAGTAATCTGATATTAACTTGGAGTGTTCGAAAGGTAATGTTAGATTACTTGTTAGGTTCGTGTTTTAAAATATTTACTGGAAGTGTGGGCTAATGTGGGATTATCTTGTTTGGTTTGGATATACATATTATCGGGATAAACTTCGATTATTGACTTATTGTTACACGTAGGAAAATGAGACAATATTGGGGGTAATCCAATTACCATGGGATATTGTAAGATTATTTTTCGTATTAATCCACTCTTGCCCGTAGGTAAGGTATTCTTGTATACTACTAGTATTTGCTTTGTAATATGTTGATATTATGTTTGTTACTATCCCAACAAAAAATGTCAGGCTATCTTGCATCAGTGTGATCTCATATTATCTCGGTAGTACTGTTAACTAGATAAATACATTCCATTAAATTGACATTATCTTTCAGAGAGTAATCACATTACTTTAAGTAGATTAATGAACCAAATGCGCCCCGAAAGAGTATATGTTACCATGTATTATGTTTTTTATAGGACATAATGATACTATTATAGTGTTCTGTTAACCATGTGGTATCCGGTGGTGTCTTTCTAGCAATGCTCTGGTTTTCTTCTAGCATCATTCTGTTGTACTAAACACCCTCCTGAAGGCAACATCATAAGTTCATCTGTCTTACTATGTTTGCTTTCTTCATTTTGTTTTCCGTCTTCACCTTGGCAGGATGGGTATTTCAAGATCACCCGAGGAACAAATGAGTGTGGGATCGAAGAAGATGTAACCGCGGGATTGCCTTCTTCCAAGAACTTGGGGATAAAATCCATTCCTGGGGATGCTTCTTTTGTTGCCTCAGTTTAATGATTAAGGGTGGTCCTTCCCAAAACTCCCCCATAACACCTGCTGCCTTGTTATATAACACAACCCGCCCCCCGCCTTCCAACTTTTGCCAAATGGTCTCAGATGTGCTGGCTATATTTCTGGCAGAAGTAAAAAATGTTGTGACAATTTGCCTTTCGTTTTTGTGAAAGACTTGGTATGGTCTCAGATGTGCTGGCTATATTTCTGGCAGAAGTAAAAAATGTTGTGACAATTTGCCTTTCGTTTTTGTGAAAGACTTGGTATACTTTAAAAATGTCCTGTTCTGTGAATTCGGTCTGGATATACTTCTAAACGCGTATACATGTACTTTATGTACTTCTACCAGGCTACCAAATAAAGTGACAAGTCTAAAATAAAGTCTTCTCATACATGGGACTATTCTGATTCAATAATATCGTATATTCTTGGTATATTGTTGAAGGAAATTCTGTAGTGTGCTTAGGGGTTGTTCTGTACGGTATAACATACTCCGTATATTTTATAGCATACCTGAAAAATCTCGGTACGCAAAATTACATACTGTTACCTTATTGAAAATAGATGAACTTCTCCAATCATCGTCATTGAAATTGACAAATAAAAGTACCCTCCTTGGTGGATCCGGTGATATCTTGTTCAAGGAATTTTCAACATGACATTGTTATGTCTTCCCCGCATAAGAATGAGATGTTCCTAGAGCCTTGACTGAGACCGTAAATCTATTTCCATCCCACGTAATGCCGTTGTTCCTTTTGGCAACATTTGATAGGCAGCCAGCTCAGCAGCCTGTTAAATATTTTAATAAGGTTTATCAAAGGAGGAAGGGAAGAGCTATTAAGTAAATTACTATTTAGTTGGTTATATGCTTTATCCCTGCGTGGATACTTTTACTTTAAAGTTTAAATAGTAGGCCACTAGCCAATTATGACAGGCTATTATTTTGTATTGAGTGTTGCCTTGGAGAGTGACCTTCTCGAACAGACTTGTTGCCTCGTTACCTGCCGTTTATCTTCTAATATCAATACACACTTTTATCATTATGTTTTGATCAGATCTGTGTATTTGTATACTGTTTTAGCTTTCATTTGTGACATAATCTATCAATGGTATCAGAGCAGTCGCTCTTGGGATCGGAAAGTGAATCACGACGGCAATCTAGTTTGCGTTATAGAGGTGGATGGTGAAAACGAGATCAAACATGGAAAACTGAGTTGATACGTTGGAACGGGAACTAGCAAACATCACAACTTCAATAGCGACGATGAGTGAACAGATTCAGAGCAACGTTCTAGCTTCGATTGCTGCCATGAACGAACAGATTCAGAGCATTCACGATCAGTCCCGGGGAAGATCACGATCAAAACACAGCCATTGTTCGTGATCACCCAGTAGCCCAGAGCAAACGAGAGGTAATTCAATGCATTCTCAAGTTCACACTCATCGCATTCACATGGGTAGAAAGGTAGACCTACATCTATTTAATGGCGAAGGTGCTTACAATTGAATTGTGAAGATGGAACGCTATTACCGATTGAACCAGATAGATGAGGAAGATAAGGTGGAAGTCTCTGTAGTTGCAATGGAAGACCGGGCCTTAAACTGGTTTCAATGGTGGGAACACCAAGCGGAGGAGAGAACCTGGGAAATTTTGAAGGATGTTGTGATCCGAAGGTTCCAACCAGATATATTACAGAATCCGTACGGGCCTATGCTGAGTTTGAGACAAACGGGTACTGTAAAGGATTACAGGGTGGAGTTTGAGATGGTCATAGCTCCACAAAAAATGTAGACAGAGGTATTCTGCGAGGTATCTTCATTAATGGCCTCAAGGAGGATGTTAAGGTTGAACTGAAGTTGTATAATTCCAAGTCCTTATCTGCCATCATGGATAGGGCTTTGCTTATTGAACAAAGGAATGAGGCTGTGTATTTGAAGAATAAGGGGGAAGACAGATTACATGAGAAGGATAGAGGCTCCATGAATTTCAAATCACCAAATTGGGGCAACGGATTGAAGGCAAGGGCTGGAAATTCCTGGCCCAATATTGGAGGAAAAAATATTGCAGACAACAAAGGGAAACAACCTTGGTACACACTTAAAGGGGGCAAGGGTGACTGAAATCCATCCCTCAGGTATAAAGCAGGTAGGGCCCCAACTGTCTCAAGAAGAGTACCAAGATAGGAGTAGAAGAGGTCTGTGTTTCAAATGTGGGGAAAAGTGGAGTAAGGAACACACATGTAAATTGAAAAATTATAAGCTGATTTTAGTAGAAGATTCAGGAAGTGTCTGAACCAGAATTAGCTGAGGAAGAGGAGGTTACTATGGAATCTAAAACCATGCAACTTTCTGTGATGAGCAGGGAAGGGATACCTTCCATGAGAGCTTTTAAAGTGCAGGGAAATCTGAAATGGAACCAGGGAGAATTACCAGTATCTGTACTGATTGATAGTGGGGCTACCCACAACTTCATATCACAAAGATTGGTGGAACAACTGAGCATACCATGTCAGACCATTTCTGGATACAAGGTGCAGATTGGGAATGGGGATAAAATCACCAATAATGGCAGTGTGAAGGACCGATCTTAAGTGTACAGGACACTATCATAAATAAGAAGTTTTATGTATTGAAATTAGGGGGAATTGATCTGGTTCTTGGCATGGAATGACTGACCAGTCTGGGGGATGCGAAAGTTGATTTTCAGAAGCAAATTATCAATTGGCAACAATTGGGTGTGAGACAAACGATCCAAGGGGATTCCCAGTTAAATTCTATTGAAGTCTCCCTACAGACCATGACACAAATCATACATGACACTGGTGCAAGCACTACAATCACCCCCATTTAGGAACACAACGTCCTCGTTGCGCCTATAAACCAATCTCAATCATATTCCAGAATCTTTTCCCCTGCTAAGTGCCCGCCTGATATCCAACGGATCATCACACTGTCGCAGGATTGCTCTGATACCACCTGTAACACCCCGATCCCGTAAGCCCCGAGGTAGTTACTCCAGACCAATAGTACTGTCCTCACAAACCACCACGAGCTTTTACCGCGCACTTTGTCTTCACTCATGCACGCCCTGAGAAACTTCCCAGGGGGTCACCCATCCCAAGACTACTCTCGTGCAAGCACGCTTAACTTTGGAGTTCTTGGGTGATTAGCTCCCTTAAAAGGAGATGCACCTCTGTTGGTATGAGTAGTACTATTAATCCGTTTATATTAAATCTCAAGTGTTACAGGATGAGTACCTCATATTATGTGAAGGTACTCTAACAGAAGAAAAAGGAGAGCACCCTAAGGATCATGTGTGGGAGGAGTTATTGGCTGAATTTCTGGAGGTGACCAACCCCATACAAGGGTTACAACCCCACAGAGTATGTGACCATGCTATCAACATTAAGGAGGGAGCTACTATACCCAGCCTCAGACCCTACAGATATCCTCAGTATCAAAAGAATGAGATAGAGAAGATCATCAAGGAGATGCTACAATCAGGGATTATCCAACACAACAACATCCCCTATAGTAGCCCTATACTGATAGCCAAGAAAAAAGATGGAGGATGGAGGTTCTGTGGAGACTATAGGGCCCTCAATCAGATCACTATTCCTGACAAATTTCCCATACCCATCATTGAAGAATTATTGGATGAGCTAGGAGAGGCAACAATATTCTCAAAACTGGACCTCAAATCTGGTTACCATCAAATCAGGATGAAGGAGGCAGATATACATAAGACTGCATTTTGAACTCATGAAGGGCATTATGAGTACTTGATCATGCCCATTGGATTAACCAATGCCCCTTCAACCTTCCAGGCCCTCATGAATCAGGTATTAGGACCATTTCTGAGAAGGTTTGATTTAGTTTTCTTTGATGACATCCTAATTTATAGCAAATCTAGAGAAGAACACCTTATACATATGAGAAAAGTGTTTTCTGTTTTAAGGGAAAATACGTTGGTGATTAATTTGAAGAAGTGTTCGTTTGAAAGGTCCAAATTGGTGTATTTAGGTCATATAATACCTGGACAAGGTGTGGCAGCTGATCCAGAAAAAATAGAGGCCATGCTCAGTTGGCCAGAACCAAAGGACCTGAAGGGTTTAAGAGGGTTCCTTGAGCCGACTCGATATTACATGAAATTTGTGAAGGATTATGGAAAATTAGCCTTACCTCTTACTCAACTGCTTAAGAAAGATAGCTTCCATTGGGACTCAAAGGCTACTGCAGCCTTTGCTGAACTGAAACAAGCTATGATCTCACTCCCTGTATTGGTAGTGCCAAATTTCAACAAACTATTTATACTGAAAACTGATGCTTCAGGGATAGGATTAGAGGCACTCCTTATGCAGGAGGGAGGCCACTTGCTTACATGAGCAAGGAACTGTCCAAGAAAAATCAGTGTAAATCAGTCTATGAAAGAGAGCTCATGGCCATTGTTTTAGCAGTACAAAAGTGGAGGCCTTATTTATTGGGGAGGACCTTTGAAATCCATACAGATCAGAAGAATCTGAATTTTTTAGCTGAACAGAGAATTATGGGGGAGGAGCAGCAGAAATGAACTTCTAAACTGTCAGGGTATAACTTCACCATTAGATAAAAACCGGGGAATGAAAATAGAGTTATTGATGCTTTATCTAGAAGGCCTACTCTACACTCACTCTCCATTGTTACTTATCAAGAATGCAATGGGTTAGAAGAAGTGCTACAGGATGACCCAAAATGTCATGAACTGATTCAGAAAGTCATTTCCCAACCTGATAAAAATCCATATTTTCATATAATTAAGGGGTTACTTTATTACTAGAAGAAGCTAGTGCTACCCAGACAATCCCCTAGAGTACTCAAGGTGCTAAAAGAATATCATGATTCTTCGGTGGGGAGACATTCTGGTATTTCGGGACTATGAAAAGGATTTCAAACCTGTTTTATTGGCATGGAATGAAGACTGACATCAAGAAATTTGTTGAAGAATGCACCATGTGTCAAAATAATAAATATCAAGCTCTTAAACCGGCTGGATTACTACAACCTCTACCCATTCCTAGCAACATTTGGACAGACATTAGCATAAAATTTCATAGGAGGACTACCTAAATCCCAGGGAAAAGACACCATTTTGATGGTGGTGTGATACGTTCGTAATTTCCATTTCTATGTTTATGTTTTTAATTAGTTTTGCTTGACTTTTACTTTGGAAATTACACACTTTTGGTGTAATAGATTAGATTGTTAAATTCTTGTAAATAGGTTAGATTAGACATATTCTGAGCTTAAGCAGGTTTTGGTCACCCAAAGTACAGTTGGTGAACCCAAAAAGTGAAGAGAAGGTGCAAAAGTTCAAAGACAAAAGAAGATCCTGAATTTTGATCTATACTCGGTCGAGTATTAGCTATACTCGATCGGGTATTAGGTTGGAACT